ACCGACTTTTTTGCGATTTCTAAACTCTCTCGGGAACCGAGTTAATGAATTTCGTGGGAAGCACCGCCTATCTCAACCACGCCCCGCCCATTTCGGGTACGTCTCCCCTAATTAGTCCGACAGCCCCTTGCTAACCTTATTCCACTTTTTCCCCATCTCTGGGCTGCTCTGGAAGCGAGTTATGAGTTTTTTCTGCGGCTCCGCCAACTTTCGGCGCATGCCCCGCCCACTGTGGGCGGGGCTTACCATGGGTCACGGGTGCTATTTACATCTTGTCCCATGCCCTACCCATCCCCACCTTGACCCGACCTCTCCAAGTTGTTCTTCAGGTCGAACCGAATTCCGGACAAGCAAAAAAATCAGATGAAGCAAATTATATATAGTGGGTGATCGTATGAATAAATACATTTCCCGAACTTATTCTCAATCCTTTTCAATATAAAAAAAGCAAGAGATAATAACTCACGGCGTGTAGGGGACCGGGAAGCATGCATTGCTCATGTTGAAGCCGTATGCTCGCCTAAACACGTGATAAAGTCCCTTTCCTATTCTTTATCTTCGTCATAACAAGAAGCGCTGTCAACTACAAGAAAAATGGGTGAGTGATCGTGTGGCCCCTCATTGGGTTACGCTATGTCACTTATGGGTACAACAGAAACGAGAATCTCTCAAGAGGCTGATCGAAGCGTTTCACATCGCCGAATAAATGGATTATCGGTTCTCCATCGTTCTCTGCCCCGATCAATAAGTAATGAATGGTAAGCACTGTATCTAATTGGAATACACTTCATATCTCAGAGGTGGAGGAGCGCGCTACATACTTCATTAGGACGTGAGACAACACCGTTTCTGGTGTGATGCTGCCCTTCTGGGACAATTGTTGTTGGTCTTTGTTCAGCACAAGACAAGATGACAGTTGTCTCAAATGAAAATGAGAGAATTGAACTATCTCCGAGCCCCATGTTAATGATCTTCTTCATCAAAGTGTTATTGATGACTAGTTCATGCAACCTATCGGTTAGTCTTCGCTGTGTTGCAGCTTCTTCAGACCTTAAATACAATTAAACACACGCCGTACGACAGTATTTTCAATATCGATTTATAGAAAGTAATAACCAGAATTGCTTACGAAAACTTCGCCAAATTCTGTAGCATGCCGATACCTACAAATGTTAACAAGCGAAATCTTCAATTCCATGGCGAGACCTAGTTTCTGTGAATGAGTGTTGCACCGAACTGAAGGACGTAACATTTAAATGTGGTTCTAAGAACTGCTGCAGATCCTCCTCCACCAATCCGAGTGTGTGTACTTCATGCTGGTGTTGTCGTCAAAGTTCTACAACAGAACGTATGACTTGCTTGTTGCCTACATTCATGTCTGAAGAAACCACGTCGAAGATCGCGAGAAGTATCATCGGGTACTTTAAGCGATCTAAAGCTGATATGAGATCTTCAGCGTCGAAGATATGAGCGGCTACGTGATGAAACAGCAGAGACAGGGGTTTTGTGAGGAACCGGCTCACTCTAACTGACGGTCCTCCGCATGATGATATGACTGGTCAGGTATTGATCAAGTTTTCATTGACTTGGCAAGATGACACCGATGATCCTGGGAATGGTGATGATGGAGTGAGTGACGATTATCTGTTAAGAGCAGTTGGAGGTCCT